GTCCCAACAGCTGCCCCGCCTCCCACGACCCTCCCTGAGTTTGACGATCCGAGCTTTCGCTACGACACCGGCATGGCAGTCCTTGAATATGGGTGAGCTAGTTGGAAAGGAATCTGGGGCATGTGAGGTGACTTTTGAGGCGCTTCAAAAGCATGGCGGACCTTCCCTTCCCACTCCCGTTCCCACTCAAACTCCTGTCCTGATGGAGAATCTTCCGGACCCAGCACATGTGCCCGCCGTGCGTTTCTGTCTCAGGCGCCCCAATATTTTCCCCATGTCCCTGCCCTTTCCCACTCCATACCCGTTCCCACTCAACTCCTGTCCGCTCAGCTACGAGATGCTGATGGAGAATCTTCTGGACCCAGCACATGTGCCCTTCGCCCATCATAAGTACCAGGTGGGGACGTAGAGAAGCGATAACCCATGTCAGGGTCTGAAATGCATTCTGTCAGGTCCATTCTTGAGATCCCTATCACCTGTCTGTCTGTCTGTCTATCTGTCTGTCTGTCTGTCTGTCTGTCTGTCTGTCTGTCTGGACCCAGCGCATGTGCCTGCCGCCCATCACAAGAACCTACCAAGTGGGGACGTAGGAGCAAAAACTCATGTCAGGGTCTGAAATCCATTCTTGTTATTCTGTCACTTCTGGGAAAACATCAACAACCACTTATCCACTGGGTTACCAAAACAAAGCAAGACTTCTGCTCCCCCTGGTGGCAATCAGAATGCTCAATAAAGGGGTCCTATACTGCCGAGCGAGCGCAGCAAGGCACTCCCCCACTGCCGTCCATGGTGGTAACCAGCATCACCCGACGGGGCATCCAAGTTACATGTGTTTCCCCCCTCGCATTTTGCAGGGCGATCGCAACAAGGCGAGGCCACTGCCGTCCATGGTGGTAACCAGCATCACCCCACGGGGCATTGAGGGAACGAGCTTTTCGGACGGCCCAGCTGCTATGGTGCCGCCCTGCACGCTCATTCAGGAGCTGTATATTGGGGGGAAAGTGGTGAGATCACCTCTCTATAGTCACAATTTTATTGTGTAAGCACTAAGTGGCCCAGCTGCTAAGGTGCTGCCCTGCACGCTCATTCAGGAGCTGTATATCGGGGGGAAAGTGGTGAGCTTTACTCTTTGTTGTTAGCAGATACTTACTACCATGCCACATACTCGTTACAAGCTGCTGTGGTCCCACCCTGCACGCTCATTCAGAAGCTCTTCATCGGCGGGAAAGTGGTGAGATCAACTCTTTATAGTCACAATTGTCTTGTATAAGCACGAAGTGAGAGTGTGGTGAGATCAACTTTCACTCTCCCCTTTCTACCCTGGTATTCCACATTCTCCCGATCCCCCCACCATCTTCCCTCTCTTTCCCTCACCACACCCTATCCTGAGCAGCCAGAGGGGTCGGGCAAGAAGCAAAAGACAGCGATTCTATTCTTCCACTGCATCCCGCACCTTCCTTCTTTTACACCCCCTGTCATGCAATCCATCCATCCCCATCAGCCATCCCCCATCCATCCCCATCAGCCATCCTTCTTGTGCACTATTGGCTTCCCTCCCTTCCCTCCTGCTACCCGAGCAGCCAGAGGGGTCGGGCAAGAAGCAAAAGACAGCAATCCTCTTCTTCCACTGCATTCCCCGCATGCCCGGACAGAGTCGCCTCATCTGGTTCTTTCTCTGCTCTTCCCCCAACAACACCCTCCCCGTCCGCGTCCCTCTCTGCAGCCGGAGGGGTCGGGCAAGAAGCAAAAGACGGTGATTCTCTTCTTCCACTGCATTCCCCGCCTGCCCGGGCAGAGCCGCCTCATCTGGTTCTTCCTCAACAATGTCCTCCCGCCCTGGGTGCCCATGCCCCCCGAGTGGTTTGTGCACCTGACTCGCATGAAAGTGCTCGACACCGACCACCCCTTGCTGCACCTCACGGTATGCTGCCCTTTGTGCCTCATTCACTATAACCCATGGGGTTGTGGGTTCCCCCCTCCCCCCCCGAGTGGTTTGTGCACTTGTCTCGCATGAAAGTTCTCGACACCGACCACCCTTTGCTGCACCTCACGGTATGTCTATCTCAATGAATGGGGTTAAAGTTTGCATATACATGGCGTCGAATGGAAACGAGTGGCCTTGCTTTGCTGGTGCCACTCCCCTGTGCCGGAGTGGTTTGTGCACCTGACTCGCATGAAAGTGCTCGACACCGACCACCCTCTGCTGCACCTCACGGTATGCATTTCCAACAGGCTCTCTCAAATGTCCTGCCTCTCTTACTTGTTTTGAGACGTCTCAAAATTCTCTTGCTTGTTTTGAGGCATCTCAAAGCACTTCTACTTGTTTTGAGGCATCACAAAACTTTCGACAAGCTCTCACTTATGTACTAAAACTCTTGCTTCTGGTGTGTAACGGGAAAAGCATGGCCTCCCGGGTGCCTCTGCCCTCCAAATGGTCCGCGCACCTGACAAAGATGACACAAGATCCACCCCTTGAAACGTACTCCCCGTATTCCCTCTTCAGTTCCCAATTGCACCTTCTCCCCAATGCAGGAGCGGCGGCTAGGGCAGCGCAGGGCATCAAGCTGTACCGAACTCCCACCTCACTCAACTCCTTTGTCTCCCCTTTCCAACCCCCCCAACCCCTTCTGCCAATGCAGGAGCGGCGGCTGGAGGAGGAGGGAGGCGCGGTGCAAGGAATAAAGAGCTACTACACTCCCACATCGACCTACTACCTCTCCCAACACCTCTCTGTACCCTCCCTCTCTCCCTTCCCCCATCACCTCTGTGTGTACCGTCCCCTCACGGCAGGAGCGGCGGCTGGAGGAGGAGGGAGGGGCGGTGCAGGGGGTAAAGAGCTACTACACTCCCACATCGGCCGACTCACTGTCTCTGCCATTGACTGCCTCTCTTGTCCCTGTCACCCCTGTCACCCCTGTCACCTGTCCCCTGTGTCTTACCCCAATGCAGGAGCGGCGGTTGGAGGAGGGAGGGGCAGTGCAGCAGGGCATCAAGCAGAACTGTACTCCCACCTCATCCAACTCCTTTGCATCCCATTACCACACTCCAAAACCCCTTTCCCCAATGCAGGGGTGGCGGCTGGAGGAGGAGGGGGGGGGGTGGTGCAGGGGGTACGGAGCTACTACACTCCCACATCGACCTACTACCTCTCCCAACACCTCTCTGTACCCTCCCTCTCTCCCTTCCCCCAACACCTCTGTGTGTACCTTCCCCCTCACGGCAGGAGCGGCGGCTGGAGGAGGAGGGAGGGGCGGTGCAGGGAATAAAGAGCTACTACACTCCCACGTCGGCCGACTCGTTTGTCTCGGCGTATCGCTCCTGGCTGACCAGATTTGCGGGCAGCAAGGCCCGTTTCCCCGCCTATGTGGATCCGAAGCTCCCCCCAGCCAAGTCAAGGCGGGAGATTCTTGACAGGTGAGATTCTTGACAGGTGAGATTCTTGACAGGTGGGATTATCGACAGGAGATTCTTAACAGGTGAGATTCTTGACAGGTGAGATTCTTGACAGGTGAGATTCTTGACAGGTGAGATTCTTAACAGGTGAGATTCTTGACAGGTGAGATTTTTGACAGGTGAGATTCTTGACAGGTGAGATTCTTGACAGGTGAGATTCTTGACAGGTGAGATTCTTGACAGGTGAGATTCTTGACAGGTGAGACTCTTGACAGGTGAGATTGCTTTGATTGATTTGCATATCCGGGGAGAGGGGGGTTGCCTGAGGGGGTGTAATGCCCGCTTTCCCACCTTGTAGATGCGCGTTTCTCTGACCCCCCTACCCCACTACACCACCCGCAGGCAGCGCTTCCATGTGCGGCTGTGCACCGACTGCCAGCGAGTGTAGCGCTGGTCTGACCACCTGTCAACCCCCCACTACCTCTCTCCTTTCCCTCCACCCCTTCCCCTACCCTTCCCACCTCGCAGGCAGCGCTTCCACGTGTGCCCCGACTGCCAGCGAGTGCAGCGCTGGTCCGACCGCCTCCGCATTCACCCCCCCCCCCCCCCCTCCCTTTTCCCTCCCCCTCGCCCCACCCCCCCTCCCCCACCTGCAGGCAGCGCTTCCACGTGCGGCTGTGCCCAGACTGCCAGCGAGTGCAGTGCTGGTCTGACCGCCTCCGCATCGCCTTCTGGGCCGCTGCCCTCCTCCTCCTCGCCGCCACCGCCCTGCTTCCCCTCGCCCCTCCCCCTCTTCTAAGTCTCCCCCACTTCTCAGTCGTCCCTCTTAGCATACTCCAAGACCAAAGGGATCTGTTATTGACTCCCAATCCACCCCTTCCCCCACTCTTCCCCCTTACCCACCCCCCTGCAGGCAGCGCTTCCACGTGCGGCTGTGCCCCGACTGCCAGCGAGTGCAGTGCTGGTCCGACCGTCTCCGCATCGCCCTCTGGGCTGCCGCCCTCCTCCTCCTCGCCGCCACCGCCTTGCTTCCCCTCGCCCCACCTGCTGTTCGGCAAGCTGCGGGCCCCACTGGTGCTGTTTTTGTAGCGGCGGCTGCGGTGGTATGTGCTGCGGTTGCGCACTGGTTGAAGGGGTTTATTGAGAAGAACTATGTGTATGAAGACTTTGTGCATGCACTCTGGTACCCCGCGAAGAAATGAACTCACAGGTAGTGTTTGCAATGAGTGATAGTTGAGAAAACTAGAACGAGAATGATTGAACTATGAAACAATTGGGTACAAGTACTCACCATAATTGGGTTGTACCCCTTATGGGCTACCCCACTACAGCCTACATAAATGTATAAGCTATAATGTTCTCAAACACCCCTATACGCAAACTGGGGGAGAACAAGGGGTCACAAGACCAGTCTAGCAAAGCAAAGCAAAAGTCAGGGTGGATCACAAAGTCACCACACATTTCGAGCACAAGTTCAAAAAAGGCCAAAAGGCCAGTTCACATGCAAGATCACACACACACATATATATATATATATATATATATATATATATAAGAGGCTAAGCAAGCAAGACCAGGAATATATATATGTGACAGTACAAGCAAGGTCAAGAAGTGAGCAAGTGAGGCAAGACAGGCACAACACCCAGCTGAGTGCAGAAGCGCTGATGATCACAAGGCGCAAGTGCCTTGGTGAAGACATCAGCAGTGTTGGCCTCAGAGGCCACGTACGCAAGCCGCAACTGTCCACGCTGCTGTAGCTCACGAGCAAGAAAGTAGCGGAGAGCAATGTGCTTCGTTCTGTGCTCCAGTCTCTGCTCTCGACACAAGGCCAGCATGGCCTTGTTGTCTACGTACAGCACTGGAGGAGAACGAGGCGGCTCTCCGAGGTCAGTCAGCAGGTAGGTGAGCCAGCGAAGATCCTGTGCAGCCATCGCCCCGGCGTAGATCTCAGCTTCACAACTGGAGCCGAGAACAGAAGACGAGCGAGTAGCCCGCCACGAAACAGAGCCGGAACCAAGGCTGAAGGTGTAACCCTGTGACGACCGCTGCGTAGCCTGGTCGTCAGCCCAAGAAGCGTCTGCGTGCCCAGTGAGGACCAGTGGACTCTGCCCTCCAAGCACAAGCCCCATGCCCGACGTACTGCACAAGTAGCGCAACACCCTCTTCGTTGCAGCCATGTGCTCTTGTCTGTGTCTCCCAGGAGCAACATAGCGTGCGAGAATGCTAAGAGGGTATGCAAGGTCAGGTCGTGTGCAGGTCATCAGGTACATGAGGCAGCCAACAAGCTCTGGGTACGGGCCACTCGACTCTACGGACTCATCCGAAGGCAGAGCTGAGAGCGAGTGGCAAGTAGGCAGAGGAGTGGCCTGAGGCGAGGAGTACGTGAAGCCGAAGCGCTGAAGGACCTGCTGCACCATGTGTGACTGAGTCAGGGTAATGGTGCGCTGTGCTCTGTCCCGGGTGATCTGCAAGCCAATGTAGCTGCGCAGTTCACCCAGGTCTGTGCACGTGTGTCTCTTCTGCAGCTCGGACTTCACGTGGGAGAGTCCAGCAGTGTCAGTTGTGGCAAAGACCAAGTCGTCGACGTACACGAGGATGTAGGACGGCGGCAAAGAAGTGTCGGTGCGGAGAAACAGCGACGGGTCGGCAGTAGACGAAGCAAACCCAAGAGCCGCAAGTGTAGTCCTCAGTGTGTCGTGCCACTCACGTGGTGCCTGGCGGAGATCGTAGACTGGCCGCCGAAGGCTCCACTGGGTGCCAGGAGGAAAAGTCCCAGTGAAGCCAAGTGGGCGACGCAGCCAGATCTCCTCGTATAGGCTGCCCTGCAAGAAAGAAGTGCTGAAGTCAAGAGAGTGCAGCTCGTAGCCGCGGTGAGCAGCTACGTGCAGCAGTACCCGAAGAGTGGTCATCTTCGGGGTGGGAGAGAAGGTCTGAAAGTAGTCAACTCCCTGCCGCTGACTGAAGCCACGAGCCACGTAGCGCGCCTTGAAGACAGGCGGAGAACCCGACGGCCGCTTCACCCTGAAAATCCACATGCCACTGACGATGTTCGCCCCACGCGGGGGAACCTCGTCAACGTAGGTGCCTGTGTACTTCCAGGAAGCCATCTCTGCATCCATAGCTGCCTGCCACTGAGAGGAGTAGGGACCCTCTATCGCCTCCGCGTAAGAGCGCGGAGTCGGGATGTCAAGTGCATCCGGGTCTCCCTCAGGGGTAAGCAGTACGGACACGAGATGCGGTGAAGAAGCAGCCAAACACTGGAACTCCTCCTGCCTGTCCTCAAGGACGTCCGTGCTAAGGGCACACTCACCCCCGACAGACGGAGGACATACTCTGACTCAGCGACAAGACTAGCAGCGTAGTCTAGACGACAGCGGGTAGCAAAGTCAACGAGCTCAACAACTAGGGCAGACGCAGCAGTGGACTCAAAGGAACGGTCAGTGACGATAGTAGCAAGGAGACGCGTGACGGTAGGACTGGCAGTACGAAGAGAGTCCGACTCCGGGTCGGCAAGAGCAGGAAGAGAGGACTCAGGAGGAGAAGGCAAAGGGGCACGCAGAGGAGCAGTGGATTGACGCGGAGACATATGGTGCGTGCCAGGGACAGGAGGAGGACGCTGACGCGAACCACGACCACAAGGGCGAGCAGGACGGACAGGCGATGCAGGGTGAGACCTAGGCTCACGACGCTCAGCAAGACCTCCAGTAGGACCAGTGTAGGGAGAAGGAGCAGGCAGTGGGGAGGCCGGCTGTAACAGTAACTGTGACGTGACAGGCTGTGGACACTCTAAGGGAGGAGGAGGACTAGTAGAGGGCGGAAGACCGAGAACCTGCTGAAGGAGCGGAACGAAGTACGACCGAGGCCGCGCGACGACTCCAGACACAGCAGGGACAGCACCAGTACCCCCAGCGGCAGCACCAGCGCCAGCAGCACCTCCAGCTCCAGTACCTCCAGCAGCACCAGTAGCACCCCCAGCAGGACCGCCTCCAGGACCAACAGCAGTAACCTCAGCGCCAACACCCGCAGCAGCTCCACTTCCAGTCGTACCCGCAGGCCCAGCAGCTCCAGTACCCCCGGTACGAGCACCTCCGGGACCCGCGGCACCAGCACCCTCAGCAGCAGAAGAACCTCCAGCTCTAGCAGCACGCCTCCAGCGCCGGGCAAACCACTCGCGCAGCTCCTGGGGAGAGAGTGGCTCCCGCCGAGACAAAGCGCCCGGAGAACCTCCAGGCCCAGCACCGCCAAACGCCACACGAGCAGGCCCAGCTCCCTCAGGCTCCGCACCCCCAGGCTCAGTACCTCTAGGCGTAGCACCCCCAAGCTCAGCACCCCCAAGCTCAGCACCCCCAGTGGTAGCACTCCCAGGCTCAGCACCCCTAGTAGTAGCACCCTCAGGCTCAGCACCAGAGTCACCAGTAACCTCGACAGGCCCGACTGCGTCTACCTGGGACACACCTGAAGGGGCAGGACCCTGAGGGGGGAGGGGGTCTACTGGGGGGGGACCTGGCACAAGGAAGAGCGGTGGCGGGGGGACGGACGGAGTGCGGTAGGGGAAGAGGCGGTAGTAGGGGACCGACTCGTCAAACGTGACGTCCTGGGAGGACAGAACACGTCGAAAGGTGGGGTGGTAGAACTGCCACCCTGGCGCGTCAGGGGGGAAGCCAAGGAAGACGCAAGGAGCAGCACGAGGGGACAGCTTGTCCGCAGACAAGTCACGGACAAACGCCCGAGATCCCCATACACGGAACGCAGACGCATCGCCAACCTTCCCCGTCCACAGCAAAGCTTGGGAGGTCTCCGGCATGGAGACCCTGGGGTGAAGGTTGATCTGATGCGCCGCGTACCGAACGGCAAACGGCCACAAAAAATGGGGGGCAGCCGCATGCATCATGGACGTACGGGCGACGTCCATGACCATGCCAATGCGGCGCTCAGCAATCCCATTTTGCTGTGGAGAGTCCGGAAGCGTGAAGGTCTGGCGGATGCCTCGTGCACGACAGTAGGCTCACAGAAGGCCAGAGGAAAACTCTCCGCCTCTGTCAGAGTGCAGACGCAGAACAGGAAAGTCCGAGCCGAAGCTCTGCCTGAGCTGGAGACGAGCTGCGCGGATCCAGTCGATCAGCACCTCAGTGACATCACCCTTGCTGCGCAAGGGGAAGACTGTGGTGTAATGCGAGTAGTCGTCAACCACCAGCAGGAAGTAGCGCTCGTGACCCTGTCCACGGACGCGGGCCGGGCCCCACACGTCCATGTGAAGCGTCTGCAGCGGGGCCTCTGTCGGAGGAAACTGGGAGGAGTGAGGGGCTGCCCTCTGCCGCCCCTCGACACAAGGGACGCAGATAGGGCCAGGCCCCGGAGGAAGGGGAGGGAGGGACCGGGGAAGACCAGAGACAAGGACACGGGAGGCCATGCCTTGGAGACGAAGCAGGGAGGGGTGACCAAGGCGGTGGTGCCAGAGGAGAGTCTCGTGAGACAGGAGGCGACACGAGCAGGGGGCAGACTCAGGGCTAGACCTGGACGCTGCAACAAACACCTGACCCGACGCAGCTACCTGACTAGACGCAGTGACTGGAGGAGATTCAGTGGTCAGTGTGTACAGGCTCGACCCCGGCCGACGTGTAAACGTGGCCAGGTGTCGGCCTGTCCGAGCGTCCGTGCAGTGGGTCACCGCTGACTCGCAGGAGTGAACTGGTGAACCCCCGCATCCTGTGGTCAGCACCACTCACCAAGTTCGTAGAGAATGAGGGGAGGCTAAAGACCAGACAAGGTGCCAGAGGGGGCCGCCGGACACGGGAGGACAGTAGAGAAGTGAGCAAGGACAGGACCCCCAGAGGGGTCCGCCAGAGAGACTGCAACTGGCCGGCCAAGCGGCGTGAGTGTGGTGCGGTCTCGAAAGAAGAAGCGAGAAGCCCCCGAGTCAAGGGTGAAGGTGTGGGAGGCCGAAGCCGACGCAGTACCTGAGAGAGCAGGCTCACCAGCACCTGAGGGAGCAGATGCACGAGCACCTAGAGCAGCAGCCTCGCTAGCACCTAGACCAACAGTCTCAGCAGTACCTAGAGAAGCAGTCTCAATGCCTGGGTCGGGCGGAAAACACCGTTAAAAGTCACCCTCATCACTAATAGTCACAGCATACATGGCAGCAAGAATAGCATCTAAGTCAAGGTCAAAGACAGCTACTCCCGCCCTAGACAGCTCGCCCCAGCGGGGGATCTCACTGGCCTCCGGGAACTGGTGACGCCAAGCGTCCGTCAGGCAGCCAAAGCAGCGCTGGGTGGAGTGCGCACCCCCGCACTGCTCACCCGCTCGGTCGCCGGTGCGTAGGACGTAGGTGCACGGACCAGTACCCCCACCCCGCTGGCGTGCAGTGTACCACTCACGGAGGTGCTGAGGGGGGGGGATGTCACGAGTGCGCTGCTGCTGCTGCTGGGGCTGACCACCACCGGAGCCGACCCTCTGCGCAGCGCCACCCCGACCAGCTCCACCTCCTCCGCCGCCGCCTCCTCCACCGCCGCCACCTCCGCCACCTCCGCTCCCACCGCCACCGCCGCCGCCGCCTCCGCCTCCAGTGCCGTCACCGACACCTCCACCCCCGCCACCACCCCCACTGCCACCCCCACCCCCTCCGCCGCCTCCACCGCCCCCGCTAGCTCCTCAAGCGCCCCTGCCCCCCTTGCCCTTGCCAGGGCGGCGTCTCCCGCTAGGGGTAGACGCCGGATCGACCGACTCAAGCCCAACGAGGTCGGCCGCAGCAGCAGAGGCAACAGAGGGCAAAAGTGGGGAGGGGGAACACCCCTCAAAGATGGGGGTGCGAGGGTCACCACGAGAGGCTCCTACAGTGACTATGCTCTTCTCTGCTGCTAGGAGGGCCTTCTCGAGGAGGTCAACGGTGAGAGTGGTGGGGCAAACTGAGAGGAAGTGGTCCCTGACTACGCGAAGGGAGTCAGGGAGCCGGGTGACCGTGTAGTAGAGGGTGATGTACATGGGGGGGGGGGGGTTCTTGGCGCAGAACTCAGCGGGAAGCGCAGCGCGGTAGCGAGTGTCACTAGTGCGGGGTGCGTAATGAGGTCAGCGACTATGGGAAAGGCAGCAAGGTCAGGGAAGAGGTACGGTAGTATGAGGCGGCTTAGTGCAGCAGTGGCAGGGGAAGAGTAGCGTGCAACTACAGCGCCGTACAAGGTCTGAGCACTCTTGTACTGGCTAAAGTGCACACGCTCAGAGGTAGGCAGGTGGCGACGCACAGCAAGACGTGCAGCAGCATCGCGTGTGGCCCACTGTGAGCAAACAGTGGCGTCGGCATCAGCAGCAGGGGCAGGAGAGGCACCAGAGGTGAGGTCAAAGAGGGTGAGACCGTCTGCCCTATCGCACTGTAGGAAAAGCTGCAGGTCATCCACCCAGACGTCAAAGTCAATGGCCCGACCCTTAGCGTCAAAAGTGAGGACACTAGGGGTAGCCATGATAACAGTAGACTAGCAGCGCAAACAGTAGGGTAAGGGCAGTGCAGTTACAGAGGCGCTGCTCTTACCAGACAGGGCGGCTCAGGCGGCTCGGCGGCTCGGCAACTCGGCGGCTCGGCGGTACGGCGGCTCGGCAGCAACTGCGGCTCGGCGACTCGGCGGCTCGGGCGGCTCGGCAGCAACTGCAGCTCGGCGGCTCGGCGACCCGGCGGCTCGGGCGGCTGAGGTGGCGCGGCGGCTCGGGCAGCTCGGGTGGATCGGGCGGCTCGGCAGCAGCTCGGCGGCGCCGGCGGCTCGGTGGTGACGGCGGGGTCGCGTGGAGCGGCGGCGGGGCCGGGTGGAGCGTCGTCGGGGCCGGGTGGAGCGGCGTCGGGGCCGGGTGAAGGGGCGTCGGGGCCGGGTGGAGCGGCGTCGGGGCCAGTAGAGGCGGCGCCGGGGCCGGGAAGGGCATCTCCGGGGCCGCAGGGGTAGGCGACGGGTCCAGCAGAGGCGGCGCCGAGGCAGGGAAGGGCGGCTCCGGGGCCGCAGGGGTAGGCGACAGGGCCGCTAAGGCGGCTAGGAGGGGGGGTCGCGAGGGCGGCTTGAAGAGGCCGCGATGGCGGCATGAAAGGGCCGCGAGGGCGGCGCGACGCGACGGAGCCGCGAGGGCGGCGGATCGGGGCCGCGAGGGCGGCGGGACGCGGCCGCTAGGGCGGTGCGACGTGACGCGGCCGCTAGGGCAGCGCGACGGGGCCGCGAGAGGCCGCTAAGGGGCCGTGAGGGGCCGTGAGGGCGGCGCGACGGGTCCGCTAAGGGCCATGAGAGGGGAGACCCACGGAGCGCGACTCGGGCAGGGACTGAGCGCGCTCTGGGCAGGGAAAAAAAAATCGAATCGGTGGGCCCTAGGAACAGTTCCCACGAGGGAACTTGCTCGATACCATGAGAAAACTAGAACGAGAATGATTGAACTATGAAACAGTTGGGTACAAGTACTAACCCTAATTGGGTTGTACCCCTTATGGGCTACCCCACTACAGCCTATACAAATGTATAAGCTATAATGTTCTGACAATACTATTGCGTGACTGTTTAGGTGGCCATTGACCATTTTATAGGAATAAGAACTAGCTAGGAGGAAAGGGGACACTTTTCATGACGTTATGATATTAAGGAGAGGTTTGGGAAAAGAAAGCGAATGAGTATCAAGAAGTGTAGCTAATGTGTAACGCACAAATATGAAGTTCCAGCATAATTGTTTCTATATGAATACACCCTGTTGTGAACGTTGAGACTAGTAGGTAAGAATGTGTATACGCATAGTAAACTAAATACCGTTGTTACGGGTGCAAAGAATCGAAGTAGCGAGAATTGCACTAAGGTGTCAAACGAGTACAAAATGTGAGCGAAGACATGAGCGAACATTTATACGCGAAACATGAAAACGGTAACGCGGTGCGTGCGAGCTAGCTAGTGCTATGCTGGCAGCGAGGTTCGGGCTAGTCTCGAAGCGTAGGCCGACGCGGTCGGGCCAGCAGTGCGAGGTTTGGTGAAACAATGCGCCCGAAGTTGGTGAGGCCCCGTTAGCAGTAATAAGCGAACAACGGTTGCTGCTGTACGCGATGTTGCGAGGCGCGCTAAGGAATTAGAGAGAATTCCTTACACTACCCCCCCCCCCCCTCAAAAAGCCCCCTCCGCTATGCAAGTGCGTGTATATCGCGGAAACCCCGGCTCCTCAGGTACATGTGCAGGGCAGGGTGGTTTTCGATGTTGGCTAGGGGCACCCAGCTATCTTCAGTTGGCGTGCGGTCCTTCCAGCGAACGAGGAATTCAATCCTCCTGATCCCCGTGGGGTGTCGAATCCGATGGCTTGGGGTTTTTTCGGGCTCGATGATCGGCTCCGATGTAGGGCGAGTCATGGATGGCGGGCGGTGACGAGGCAGTTGGCTTGTGGTTGGAATGTATGAGCGAAGAAGGCTGACGTGGAACGAATTGCTGATGTACCAGTCCGTCGGTAACAGTAGGTGGGCTGTCACTGGGGTGATCATGTGGCTGGTTTGGAATGGTCCACAGTAGCGGGGTCGTAATTTCGGTACGACGGGCAGTCTTAAGTTCTGTGTGTCGAGTAGTATGTAGTCTCCTAACTAGTACGTGACCGGGCGGCGGTGGCGGTCAGCGTTGCGCTTAGCGATGACATTGGCTCTTTTAATTGCTTCGGCGGCTTTGGTGCAGGGAGCTTGCAGAATTTCAGCGAATTGTTGTGCGCGTGGCATTGGGTTGTCCGGACTCGGCGTCATGGGCACTGTAGGGTTTTGCCTGTAGTTCAGGTAGAAGGGGGACTGCTGCGTCGTCGCTGACGTTGCATTGTTGTAGGCGAACTCGATCAGCGGCAGCTGCTGCTCCCATATTGTCGCGTCGTCGCACATGGCACGAATCAACTGCTCCATCGTCTGATTCATCCGCTCCGTTTGACCGTCGGTCTCGGGGTGGTATGACGAGCTGAACTGTAGCCTGGTCCCGAACTGCTCCCAGAGGTTCTTCCAGAAGTTGCTAGTGAACTTCGTGTCGCGGTCGCTGATTATCGCGGCTAGTATCCCGTGCAGTCGAACGGCGACTGCAATGAACAGGGGAGCGGATTCTTCGGCTGAGATCGATTTCTTGCACGCACCGAAGTGAGCCATTTTCGTCAACCTGTCAACGACGACCATAACTGCGTCGTTACCCCCAGGGTTCGAAGGTAACCCTGGGACGAAATCTATGGTAACCTGCTGCCAGGCGCGCTAAGGTGGTGGAATCGGCTGCAACTGACGGCTGCAACTGACCCGCCTTTCTTTTTCGCGAGCTCTTCATCACCTGACACGAAGGACATGAGCCCACGTGGTGCTGTACGTTGGTCAACAACTCCGGCCACTAGTAATACCGCTGCAGTTGCTGTCATGTTTTTTCTACCCCGAAGTGTCCCGATGTAATCCCGTCGTGTGCCTCCTGCAGTAACGGTTCCCTCAGTAGTGAGTACGTGGGTACCCAGATGCGGTTGGTGCCTGTTTTTACGTAATAGACTCCTTTGGCCTCTGCCAGTAGCTGTGAATTTCCGGTCGTGAAAAATGGGTCGGTACTGTATCCGTAGGTGAATAGGCCTGTTAATAGTGGGTTGGTTTGGGCGAGTAGGATGGCGTGGAGTTGGGCAGTGGGGCGTGTCAAACATTATATATGTTGTTGTAGTTGTTTAGGCTACAGTGGGTTAGCCTATAGGGGGTACACATATCTAGGTTTCATTTTTGTACTCATTTCACTGTTAGTTTATTCATTCTTGTTCAACATGGTATAGAGCAGGTCCTTCCTAGGACCGTTTTTTCTAAGGGCCCACCACTACCTACCTGCCTATCTGCCTACCTACCCTAGGGCGCCTCGGCGTTCACGCCTCTAGAGGCCCTGTAGGCCCCGCGCTTTTGCACCTAGAGGCCCCGAATCGGCCCCGCGCCTAACCCTAGAGGCCCGCGCCGGCCCCGAGCTCGTCCCCTAGAGGCCCGCGTCGGCCCCGCGCCTACCCTAGAGGCCCGCGTCGGCCCCTTCCCTACCCCTAGAGGCCCGCGACGGCCCCGACCCTACCCCGAGAGGCCCGCGACGGCCCCGTCCCTACCCCTAGAGGCCCGCGACGGCCCCGTCCCTACCCCTAGAGGCCCGCGTCGGCCCCTTCCCTACCCCTAGAGGCCCGCGACGGCCCCGACCCTACCCCTAGAGGCCCGCGACGGGCCCGTCCCTACTCCTAGAGGCCCGCGTCGGCCCCGTCCCTACCCCTAGAGGCCCGCGTCGGCCCCGTCCCTACCCCTAGAGGCCCACGTCGGCCCCGTCCCTACCCCTATCAGCCCGCGTCGGCCCCGTCCCTACCCCTATCAGCCCGCGTCGGCCCCGCGCTTACCCCCACCCGCTCCCTGCGCTCGCCCTTAGCGGCCTCGAACGGCCCCACCCAGAACGAGCCGCCCGCACCGAACAGCTTGGCCCTAACGGAACCGAGCCGCCTGAACCGAGCCGCCCGACCCGAGCCGCGCCGCCCGACCTGAGCCGCCCGAACCGAGCCGCGCCGCCCGACCCGAGCCGCGCCGCCCTACCTATACCGAGCCGCGCCGCCCTACCTGTACCGAGCCGCGCCGCCCTACCTACCCTACTGCTCCTACTGCTTTTACTACTGCTGCTACCATGGCTAGCCCTCCTATGCTAGCCTTCGATGCTGAGGGCCGCCCAGTGAAGTTCGACACCTGGCTTGATGACCTACACCTCTTCCTACAGCTCACTGCCAAGGAAGACATCTCGCTGTACGATCACGCCCTAGGCCACGCTACTGCTCCTGCTGCTACTGCTGACAGCACTGCTCGCTCACAGTGGCAGACTCGTGACGCCCATGCTCGCTTCGCTATTCGCAACTCTCTGCCGATAGATGAGCGCGAGCACTTTGGGCAGCACAAGACTGCACAGGCACTGTACACTGCTGTCGTTGCCCGCTACTCCTCACCGGCCTCTGCCGCTCTAGGCCGTCTCTCTCTTCCCTACCTGTTCCCCGACTTAGCTTCCTTTCACACTGTCGCTGACCTCATTACCCACCTCCGCACTAGTGAGGCTCGCTTCCGCGCCGCTATGCCTGATGAGTTCCTTGCCACGAACCCACCCCCGCTCTGGCTCACTCTCTACCACCTAGTCACGCGCCTCCCTGACTCGCTGCGCTCAGTCAGGGACCACTTCCTCGCTCGCTGCCCCACCGAGCTCACCATTGCCCTCCTCGAGAAGGAACTCCTTGCAGCCGAGACTAGCATAGTCGCTGTAGGTGCCTCTCGCGGTGACCCCCGTACCCCGTTCTTTGAGGGGTGTTCTCCCTCCCCCCTTCTTCCCTCTGTCGCCTCTGCTGCTGCTGTCGACCTCCTTGGTGCTGAGAAGGTCGGGACTGCGTCTGCTTCGAGCGGGCGCCGCAGCGGCAAGGGCAAAGGGGGCAAGGGCGGTGGTGGTGACAGCGGGGGTGGCGGTGGTGGGGG